TCCTCTTCAATGTTTATTTCAGAAAGAAATGTACACTAAGTATAAGATATACAGAGTTTCATAATAGATTGTTAAATTGTAAACCAGTACATATGCTTTGCATCAATACATGCATCATGTGATGATTTTTTAAAATTTAGCTGGACTCCAACATTCACAACTGCCTAAGCTATACATATGAATAAATTATAGGCATAAAATTTAAGTACAAAATGAGATGACATTGTAAAACAGTGAGATAAATTCCTAATAGATCACATTTTCAATTTGTTATAGTCCAATGGCCAGCAAAGCACTGCTTGCTACACTGAAGTGTTCTCAGATAAACGTTCTGCTTGCTATTAACGTCCATAAAAATTACAAATACCCATTATATATTTTGCTAAAAAAATTCTATAAAACTATAAATTATTAATTACTATAAAGCACCTTATTCCTAACTTCTTACGTAACACTTACATCAACAATACATCATCAAGCACAGAAACTATCAGAATAGAAAAAACCATCGACAAAAATATTGGACATTTTCTTGATGTATGAGAAAATTTTTCTTTTTTTCAAATATGTACGAATAAGAATGATAACATCTAATTTTACACCAATGAATGAGAAAAAAATGATAAATGGAAAGAAGGCTACTGTTTGGGTTGCATTTGGAATATAACCAAGGTTATAGAACTTCCTATCTAAATACTGAGCTAATAGCACTTTAAAATATTCTACCCTCCCTCTAATTTTCTATTTGGTAATAACTAGCCAACAAGCATATTCTTTGTGTCGGGATTTTAGTGCTAGCAGAATAGGTACTGGTATATGCTTACAATAGTAGAATAACTCCCCTAAAATCCCGCACCTAAATTCTTGAATAGAGGGCCTGCTCTTATCACTTAAACTAGGTAATTTGAACTGTAAGTGTAATAACCATCCCTATTTAACTACCAGTCTCTTTCATGTGGTTCTCTGTACTCCAACCCAAGATAATCAAACACATCTTTCTCAGTGAATACAGGAAGTGGAGTTCCTTCAAAGATCTTTTCACTTCCCTTGCGGATGACACCTTTGTTTAAAGAATGCTCAGATAATGACATGCCATTCTTTTTAGCTAGGAGCCTCATTGATCTGTTAAAGTAATCAGAACCTGTAAAGTACAACAAAGAACACGCCCATTCATTGTACGGCACCACAATGATGTCCAAGCGTCTGTGCTTTGTATTTTCTCCGGGAAGTTTGCACACACCAAGATATTTTCTATGCTGACCATTATCAGCTAACGTCAGATCATCTGTGAGGAAACCTGTTGATTTCAGACTTTCTAGAAGCTTTGCCATCACACCTTCATGGGACTTGCCATCTGGGTGTGACACAATGATGTCAACATCACTGCATGTTGGCTTTCCTCTACGGTAAGACCCACAAGCAAAGGCTTGTAGTCCTGGGTTGATATCCAATGTTGCCTTTTTAACCACTTCTTCAATCTTACCAGCTTCTTCCCTTGGCATTCTTTCTAGAAATTCACCATAGTATTTCAATCCAATCTCTTGTTGCCGTGTCAACTTCCCATGGTTCTTTAGATCTTCGAGCGTCTTAAGTCCCTGTGAGATCCAAGCTTCTGCTGTGGTAGGTCCAGCACCCCAGACACCAACAAACAAGTTCAGGGCTTCCTGCTTGGGATCTACATGGTCAAGCCTTCGCAAGTGACCAATCTGGACAATTTCCCATATTTTCTTGGCAAGGCGTTCTCCGACATAGGGAAGGCTACTACATTCCTCCCATGTTTCAAGTTTTTTGTGATAATTCTTGATTGACGCGATGGCTTTCTTGTATCCTAGAGCTCTCCACTGATCTTTTGTGTTTGCATATGACGTGGCAAGAACTTGAAGTTTGTCAGTGATGAACTGGTTGTGATTTTGTTGCTGTGACGCTGATGCATGAGCACACACCCAGCTTGTCTGAAGTTTTTCTGGTGAGACATTTGGTGTGATAACAGGAGATCTGTCTGATTTGCTTCCTTCATCACCACTATCAGTATAATCACTGTCATCATCTCTTGGATCTTGAATTTTTGAAGCAGTGTGCTTTGTTGGAGATCTACTGACTGAATCACTGGCACTTGATATACCCACCACTGCTTCAAGGCTTTTCCCTGAAGGTTTTATAACAGCTGGCTCTGAAGATTGATTTCCATCGTCATTATTACTAACTGATGCCTTATTAACACATTTCTCTACAACTACGAAGTCTTCTTTGCCCAAAATGTACTGATCTAACTCTACAAGTTTCCCTTCAGATAAACACTTGCTCAACCACTCGGAATCCACAACCTTGACTTCTTCGGGAATGTCTGTGACGGCTAGGTACTTTTTCAGTTTCTCTGTTTTCAATTTTTTGTCAATCAATACATGTGTGGTACCGCTTTCCAATTTCTTGTGGTGTTTTCCTCCATGCCTCTCGAGCTGTTTCGTCAGTATGGATGCTCGAGTTTTTCCGAGACCAACTTCGACGATCACAGCTCCTACCCCAGACAAATCTGGGGTGAATTTCGGTTTTTTCGCCTTGTCATTGTCTAATGAATTGCCAGAACCAACTGAAGATCCACGCTTCTTTGACATGTTTTAAAATGCTAACTGACCGCCCCCATGTTTGATTGCTACGAAGATGTAGAGTCCAGTCTTTCCTCGGTGTTCGGGGCAGCGGGTTGGGGGAGTGGGGGTGGGTCACGGGGGCGAGTAACGCTCCCGGGAGTAGTAGAAAGTCTTTGAAGTGCGAGCGGGAGTCGACGTGGAGTCAGCATCAAATTATAACTGTCATGACCTCATCAGAATTGAGAATATTTTAAACAACCGTGTTGAGTCCATTTTTTCATAACTATTTTACGCGGTGTCGGTAGGAGTTAAGTGCGCGATACTTAATGCCGCTCAAAAACTATTTTTTGTCT